ACCTGTATGATGCAATGAGCCTGAACAAATAATTTGGGTGAACACACCTAAGCTTGTACCTTTCTAGATTTACTCGATCTACCTTAAAATCGACAGAGTTTAGTATCTGAAACTTTTTTATAGCTCGCATACAATCTTATCTATTATGAAATTTGACTTTCTTTTTTAAATTTTCATCCGACTGCATATACGGGTTGAAAAAAACATCTGATGACGGTTCATCTCCGCCCATGTTGAAGTTTTTCATGTGTGAAGGTGGTGTGTAGATTTCATTCGGAGGTATTTCAGGTAGCCCATCGTCTTCAGAATCATCGTTGACCACGTCGTCAAACTCTAACTCTTCATCTTCCTCTTCTTCGTCAACGAAATCTACTTCTGTTTGTTCATCTTCAAGAGGATCAACCACTTGTGACTGAGTTGGTCGTGACAACTGAGGCTCCCGCAGCATAATGTACAACTCAATCGAGTCGTACCCAGAATACTCATGACTGGAAAACATATTTTGAAGGTCCTCGTCATCTTGAACCTCTACCTTATAAAATTTTATTTGGTTTTCACAAAAAAAAATGTATTTTGATAGAAGATATGTGTCACTGGACCTCGTTCAAGTTTGACCTCTAATCATTTTTTGAAATACAAGAAATTGGCTTTTCTGTTTAAACAAAATTGAATGTTCTCAGTGTCTCTAAATAAAAACCCAGAGGTGGGACAAATACGTCTCACTATTGAAATGTGCACTGATATCGTATTATGGTGTAGAGGAGATTGTGTTTGAATGTTTGAATGTTTAAAAGTTTGAAGGTTTGAAGGTTTGAATATTTGAATGTTTGAGTGTTGATAACATTAGATGCGTGTAGGATAAATAGGTTTCATTAAACTTGAACAAGATAAAAATGCTCCACCACTAAATCTCCAATTTAGATGGAAACACCTTTCAATTTTGCACTCATGCACCAAGTCAAATGGCACATCCCTACATGTCCTATCACCTTACATGCATGCGCAAAAGCATGCCCCTATGTTGCCACCTATGCTGCCACCTACTCTACATGTAGGGCTGTCCCTCACCAATTTGAATGAAGCATGCTCTCTAAAATGCATGTAGGCGCCATTTGACTTGGCGCCAGCATGACACATATCATGCATGCATGCAACCACCAACCACCTCATTAATTCACTCTTATACGATTTCGCCTATAAATATGGCGTCTGAGAAACCTGTTTTGCATCACCAACCATCTTACTCTCTGATATAAACTCTTTCATTGTCTTATACAATTTCAAATACGACTCTTCTCACAGTGGGCGATTCTCATAGAGGCACAAGAGACAACATTGCAACGTTTGTAAGTTTCTATAAATTCTTAAATATTCTTGTATATTAACATATTTTTTATAAAATTATCATTCAATTAGTTATCTTATGGACTCTTACACTATTTACATTTTGAATTTAAGATGCTAAAAGATTTAGAATTCGCTCACACAACTACATTACTCCCGATTCGTTGATTGTACCCTATCTCGAATATGCGAATTTTGGAAATATTATAAAAATCTAAAATTGCACGATTGATTCCAAGTTTATACTTGAAATGTTGGAAAGGTGGAGACCTAATACACACACATTTCATCTTCTAATAGGTGAATGTACCGTCACACTAGAGGACGTGTACATGTTATTGAGTCTCCCTATCGATGGTAAGGCAGTTAATGGGTCAGTTCAACAACCCAATTCTCTATGCGAGGAATTGTTGGGCAAAGATATGGTAAAAGGCAGTGGTGCTAGAGGCCAAGGTATATTACTAACCGGACTCAAAAAACATTATGCGACTCTTGAGTTGAATGAAAATTCGTCCGAGCTAGCAAGAATAATAAAATCTAGAAATTATATGATGATATTATTTGGAAGCTTGTTATTTCCAGAAAGTACAAGGAATAATGTAAAATTTATGTATTTAAGTTTGCTTAGGAACTTTAAAAAAACAAGAAAGTATAGTTGGGGTTCTGCTGTTTGATCCCATCTATACAATTCTTTGTGTAAAAACACAACAAAGAACAAATGTACTTTTTATGGATGCGCTTTCTTACTCCGAGCCTGGGGTTGATGGAGAATGGAGTCCCTAAACCCCGTCAACAACAATGCATTCATTTATCCATATGCAACAAAGTGAGTCAAAAACTTAAATAATTTATTATTCATCCTTTCGCCAATAAATATATAAAATTAACTATTTCTCAATTCCTTTAGGTACTGCGTAACGAGTATGGATTACGGCAAGAATCCAAGATTCAATGTCGCACTATATCATAATCAATAGGATCACCTTTGAACTTTTCTACTTTTAAATTATTTATTTTTTATGTTTTTATTATTCTGATTTAATTTTATCCACATTTTATCTGAAGACCATATTTGGGTTTGGACCATGAACCAAACCCCGAGGATGCAACAGTTTGGACTACAAAGACTGCAATCATACGATTCAACATTATAGAGATGCACCACAACGACCGTGTCAAGATGTAGTTCTGAATGCATCAAGAGATAACATGCGATCTAACTTGTTTGTGACCCTGGCATCTCAAAAGGGTCGACGCCCAATGGGGTTTTACTAATTAGAAAGATTTTGCTCCATAATGGTGTAAGATGTGGCATAGGCGTCACCAATATGTCTTGCAATTCCCTGTTTTCCTCAACCAGAATAATATGCGACACACAGATCAATATTTTGATTGGTACAGATCGACCAGTAACCCATAAATGCACATGTCTCATCTGAGGTATTTGGTCGACCCACGAACACAATGGGCACAAACCTCAAATCCCCAACAACAAACCCAACACACATCAACTTTCCACCAAACACCACGACGACACGAATCCACAAACACCTAACCACAATCACCACCTCAATACCAATACACTCATATGCCCCACACCCAACCACAATCACCACCTCAATACCAATACACCCATATGCCCCACACCCAACCCCAATCTCAATTGCAATACCAATACATCCACATGCTCCACACACAATTCCAATCTTCTCCACATCCTGATATGGGTCCCTCATCATCTCACCTTAGCCCAGATCAAGGCTTTCCGGAAGAATATGACCCAACCGACCCAACTTATCATCAACCACCACATCACCATAACACCCAACAATCGCAATACCAAACACCCCAAGATTCATTTCCTTTTTATCCCCCTTACTCAGACGACCAATGCTATAGACCATCCATGTAACCCCACCCCCCACCAAGACGATCAAACTTTGAGGGCATGGGTAACCGACTGTACCAAAGTGGATCTTCCAGATATGCTGATATGACCGATTTCATGGATCCTGAATGTATTGACTTCGCTGGGCCGTCGACCTAACCGCAACAGGAAAATCAATGAAACCCACCACGAGATAGACGAGGACGCAGATGCGAAACCACGGGTTGTTACCGACTTCCGGGGGACAACTAAATAATATGCATGGTTTTTTTCATTATGTAATCGTTTATTTGTTAATGAAAAATCGAAGTTTCATAAATCTATATCGTTTACTTATTGTCTTGTATTTAAAATAGAAAGCAAAAAATTGCTTCTTAAATGCACTTAGGTGCCATCTGAGATGGCTTAGGACAAAAATGTTGCACCTAAGCGCAATCTCACTTGGCGCCTCCTTCTAAAATTAAAGTGCATGCGCCATCTCACTTGACGCCTCCATTATGGTGTTTTCTGAAATATAGTTATTTGCGTAATTTTCTCTGAAATATGATTATTTGTATATTTCTTTTTTCAATACTTGGTTATTACTAAGAAAAATTTCCACAATCCAAACAAGATAAAAATAAATGAATAAAAATAATGTATTTGTTATTCTAATCGAAACCAAATTATTCACAACGTAAGATAATAAGCCAATAAAATTCTTGACAACATCATCAATATAAATACAAGAATTAATTTCTTTATTTATTTTTCAACTAAAATAAAAATAATATAAATTTGGAAGAATGAAAACAAAGTCCTAATTTTGAAATTCAAATTTCAATAATTATCAAAATTCACACATGAATTGAGTATGGATGGCTCTGATACAACTTGTTCGATTTTTAATAATCAAGACTTTATGCATTCATATTCGAATTTAAGATGAAATAGAAACTGGAAGTGTATCTTTAAGATCCACATAATTTCAATGAGAAGATGATGATCTTGATAAAACAATGACCATCTAATTGTTGATTCCTTAATTCATTAGTTCATATTTTAATGGGATAAATAATATAAATATTCTATAATATTTTCTAGTGTCTACAATTGACTATCATAACCGAGTTTTATGCTCTTTCATAAAGAGTAATGTTTATTCAAGTTTAGAATCTCATGCACTTTCATGAAGGGTCATATTTATTTAAGTTTAGAATCTCATGCCCTTCCATAAAGGGTCATGATTATTTCAATTTTACCCATCACTAAATAGAAATTCAAGAATTATATTTTCGTTTGTAGACTCTGTTATAGCTGGCAGTCCGTGGAATAAGGAGAATGTGGGGTGGTCTTACTCGAAGTCAGTAGGATTCTCACTCTCAGGAGGTCTGATAACTTTATGGAAGGAGGGCTTGGTTAAAGTTATTTGAAGTTTCAAGGGCGATGGTTTCTTAGAGACTAAACTGTATTGGAAGCGGAATTTTTATTATGTCGTGAATGTTTACTCTCCATGTTCTTTGCACCTTAAAAGGAAATTGTGGAAGGATATGTTGGATTATATGTTGAAATTTGCAGATGGAGAATGGTGTATGGGTGGGGACTTCTTTTCAATGGTCAATCTTAGGGAAAGGAAAGGTAGTTCTTATGTAGCAGGAATACCGAAGTGTTTGGGAGGATCAATTTGGAGATAGAAGATGGTAAACAGAAGATTAATGAAGTGGATAATCTGCTTGCTTGTTATAGGGAGAATCAAGTGGAAGAGGTGGTAGCCATTAGAAGTGTAGCTATGAGTTGGATATGGATGAATTTAAAACTCAAAGAAAACATGTTTGTTCAGAAATCTAGCCTTAAGTGGGATAGAGAGGGTGACACTAACAGTAGATACTTTCATTGTGTTATGAAGGAGAGATGTCAGAGAAACTTCATTGGTTCCATTGTTACTAATCATTGTGTTCTGGAGTCAGTAGGAGAGGTCAAGAAGGAAGTTAGGAGGCATTTCTTTGAGAAATTCAAGGAATCGAATTTCAATCGTCCTCTTTTAGAGAGGGTCTCTTTTAGCGTGGTGTCTCGAGAAGAGAGGAACTCTCTGAAAGTTCTGTTTTCTTATCTTGAAATTAAAGAGGCGGTTTGGGGGTGTAAGGGTTCAAAGAGTCCAGGACCGGATGGTTACAACTTTTTCTTCATAAGGATGTGTTGAAATTTCTTAAAAGAAGATTTTTTTGCTTTTTCAAAGACTTCCATGGAAAAGAATTTCTTTCGAAAGCAATTTCTTCTTCTTTTTTAACTTTGATTCCATATAATAGTAATCTTCGGGGGCTTGACGAATATAGACCAATTTCTCTTGTTTGATGCCTGTACAAAGCATTATCCAAACTTCTAGCTGCTAGGTTGAAAAAGATGCTGAATTGCATTGTTTCCAAATGTCAAAGTGCTTTTGTTCCTGGTAAACAGTTATTGGACGGAGTCCTTGTAGCTAATGAGGTTGTGGATTATGAAACAAAGGTGAAGAAGGGATATATGTTATTCAAAGTTGATTTCGAAAAGGCGACAAGGTAAGTTAGGAGTTTCTCAACTACATGATGAGGAGGATGGGGTTTGGAGAGTTATGAGTGAAGTGGATGGATGCTATTGCATTCTCGAGTTGGATGTCGGTGTTGGTTAACAGGAGTCCTACCAAAGAGTTTGTGGTGGGTAGGGGTCTTAAGCAGGGTGACCCATTATCCCGTTTTCTGTTTGTTTTAGTTGCAGAAGGTTTATCAGGCTTAGTCAGAAAGGCTTCCGACATAGTTTCCAGGCTTTTCTATGGAGGGGAAGTGCGTAGTGGATTTTCTACAATTTGCTGATGACATTCTCTTAGTGTGGGAAGGTAACTGGAAACAGGTTTGGGCTCTCAAAGCGGTGTTAAGAGGGTTCAAAGTCGTCTCGGGGCTAGGAGTCAACTTTCTCAAGAGCAGACTTGTTGGTATTAATCCGAGTGTTCATTTTCTTTCTGCAATGACCAATTTTCTGTCTTGCAGGATAAAAGATAAAACATTCATGTTTCTCGGTATTTCTATCGGTTCCAATCCAAGGTGGATTTCTTCGTGGAAACCGTTGTATCCAAGTTGAAGGCTCGTCTAGCTAATTGGAAAGTTAGATTTCTCAGCTTTGGATGTATAATCACTTTGTTAAAATCCGTTTTATCCAGTATCTCTATTGTTTAACTCTCTTTCTTCAGAGTGCCGGTGAAGATTTGCAAAGATATAGTGAAGATTCAGAACAAATTTCTATGGGGAAATTCGATCGATAAAAGGAGGATCCATTGGGTTCGGTGGGAGCAAGTTTGTTTACCTTTTGAGAAAGGGGGTTTAGGTTTGAAGAGCATAGAAGAATTAAATATCGCTTTACTTTTTAAATGGAGATGGAGGATTCTACATGGGGATGACTCGTTGTGGAAAGACATTTTGACAACAAGATACAGTAATTTGAAGTACCAGATTCTGTCCGGTTTTAGTTCCAGCACTTATTTGCCCAAATCTGCTTGGTGGATCGATTTAATCAACTTGGAGAAGAGGCTGCCAGCGTCGGTTTTTGCAGATAATTGTTGCTTCTCTTTGGGCAACGACGCTTCTATTCCGTTTTGGAGTGCAATTTGGTACATGGAAGTTTGCTTGAAGGAGTTGTTTCCTGATTTATTTCTGTCGAGTTCTATGAAGCAAGTGGGGTGGCTAGTATGGGGTGTTGGTTAGATAACATTTAGAAGTGGGGCGAGTACGGTATCGACGCTGCTATGAGTCAAGCTGTGTTGAAAATGTTGCAGGATTTTTCTTCGTAAGGTTATACCACGAAATCAAGTTACAATTTTTTGTCTCGGTTACTCGATAGTGTCGACATTGAAGAAGGTATGGATAAAGCTTTTGGTTATCTTTGAAAATCTTATGTTCCTTTCAGAATTAAAGTTTTTCGGTGGAGATGTTTTTTTAATATAATGCCGACAAGGGACCTCCTGTTTCGTAGAGGTATTATTTTCTCCTAATGACCTTTTTTGTGTGTTTTGTTCTGTGGAGGTGGAATCTTTAAATTATCTCTTTCTTGATTGTTCTATCGCAAAGTTAATTTAGAAAGAAGTTTTGGTTTGGTTTGGATTATGTATGGAGTCAGATGTGAGTTTATGGAATAACTTCCTCCTTTGGCACATAGACTACAAGAAGAAGAGAGTGAAGGCAAGTAAAGAATGTACAATTTAGTTGGCGGTGTTGTGGGGCATTTGAAATTTGAGAAACAATATTATCTTCAACAATGCAGCTCCGTGAAAGTGGTCTTTCATTAGAAACGTTTCTAATACCATGTGTAATTTTAATGAATTTTATAAAAAACTTTTGTATTATTTTACTTAAGTTTCAGTTGGTTAGTAATTTCTTCATTTTCGAATTCAGTTCTCGAACTTTTTGTAAGCGAATTAAACTATCTCAAATACTCTATCAATAAAATCCTTGCTTATGAAAAAACAAGTATTGGTAGAGTAGCTTAGTTTCAATCCACAATCATATACGAATAGAAGAATATTAAAAAAAATAGTACAAGTATTGGTAGAGTAAGCCTAGTTTCAATCCACCATCATATACAAATAGAAGAATATTAAAAAAATAGTACAAGTATTGGTAGAGTAGCTTAGTTTAAATCCACCATAATATACTTTCGCTATCTAACCTAATACTGAACCTGCAATATATTTGCTTTGATAGTTGGGTTTTGAAGTTATTACACCATTTAAGGGTCTTAAAACACTATACTACTACAACGACCAAATTTCACCTGATCTACCTACCTGCTCATAAATAATAATTCAACAACCAATTTGCTTCACGTGGTGCAGGATTTCAATTTGCATGATTTAAAATCAAACGGTAAAAAACATGTAAACAATCATCGGGGTTGAAAATATCAATAATAAGGGAAAAATTCAATGTGTAAGAGCCAAGACATCATTTGGTCTTAGCTTTTGTTTAGACACAACTCATTAGATGGGCCATGTCTTTGTTCTGTTTCTAATTTTTTAAGTGGTGTTTGAATTTTAGTTTTCTATTGAAGTATTAAAGGGAAGAATGAATGAAGGGTGCATCCATTTTCCATGAACACATTTATTATTTCCCCTATCTTTAGTGACCTTTTCATTGGACCACACTATCTCAGTTGCTGATATTTTTCTGAATTGTAATAGGACTTGTGGGTCTGGGGGGCCATTCAATTTCAAGTAGCAACGTCCTATAAAATTTAATCCAACTTCCTATATATAACTACAAAGCACTTAAATCATGCAGACCCCAACAAATAAGGTAATCTAGAAATGCTTGCATTATTTTCTTTTAGACATTATTAAGTCCTTTCGTAGATCGAAATTTAAATTGTTGTGCCTGAATCATCAATGTGTTTGTTTACCTTCGTGTAATAGATGTGGCATTTCTCATATTTCAAATACACACGTCAATCAAAATGTTGTATTTGAAACAATTTTGCTCAAGTATAAATACTAATTTTTAAGCTTTAATGCATAAACTAGGTAAACAATAAGTATTTACATAGAAAGAAACAAGTGAAAATGGAGAAAAAGTGGTTATTGAAAAGATAATTTAGTTAATGTTTATAATTTCCAATGTTTATTTTTAATAGGATCTTTTGGCATTTTTAATATTTAGTATAAATATGTTATACTAGGCTGTCAATATTGTATCCCTAATTTTATCTCCTCTATTTTAATACACAACAATAGTCTTGTTATCATTCTTGTTCATTCTTCTTCTCCCACTTCATTACCTTGCACCAACAAATTGGTATCTAGAGCACTTGGTTCTGTTTTTCCTGGGAAACACGAGTGATTGTGAGCTGTGTGTTTGATTTTGGTTCATTGATTTTCTGTTGAAATCTTGAACAAAATCTGATTCTGTGGGTTGGGAAACAGTGTGTTTGAAGATCTGAAAAATTCGTGCAAGGTTTAAAATGAGTGGAGGCAGTAGTTTGAACACCAAACTCTTAATTTTTAATGGCAAAAACTGGAACAGATGGATGATACAAATGCGTGTGTTGTTTGGTGCGTAAGATGTTTTGGATCTGGTTACAAATGGTTATGTACCAGCTGCAGCAGATGCAACTGAAGAACAAAAAACTGCTGAGAGGGTTATGAGAAAGAGGGACCAAAAAGCTTTGTTCTATATTTATCAGTGTGTGGATGAAAGTGTGTTCGAGAAGATTGTTGATTCAACAACGTCAAAAGGGGCGTGGGATTTACTGGTGAGATGATATGGTGGTGACACATCAGTAAAGAAGGTGAAGCTTCAATCCCTGCGAAAGCAATATGAAAACTTGAACATGAAGAACAGTGAGAAAATTTCTAAATATATGTCTAGAGTAATTCTGATCACTAACGAGATGAAGGCGTGTGGAGAAACTCTGTCTGAACAGGTAATCATAGAGAAGATTCTGAGGTCGCTTACTCCTCAGTTTGATTACATTATTGTTTCTATTGAACATTCTAAAGATCTGGAAACCATGAGAATAGAAGAATTGCAAAGCAGTCTAAAAGCACAAGAGTTACGTCTGTCTGAGAGAACTTCTGAAAGGGAAGCTGAGCAAGCTCTCAAGGCTTCTTTTGTCAAGAAAGACCAGAAACAGAATAAACGTGGTGATAGATTCCAGAGGTCAGAAACCTCAACTTCTGATGATAAGAGATATCATAAAGGAAAGAAGAGGTATGACAAAAGGAAGGTTCAATGTTACTCTTGTAAACAATTTGACCATTTTACCAGAGATTGTAGGTCAAACAAGGAATGAAAATCAAAAGAAGCGTATATGGATAAACGAAACTGTGATGATGAACCTGTGCTACTAATGGCTTCTGATTCTGATGGAAAATACTTAGAAGATTGGTGGTATATGGACACTGGCTGTTCAAATCACTTAACTGAAAACAAACAATGACTGACAAACTTAGACTCCAGAAGGAGAACAAAGATCAGATGTGATGACGATAAGTATCTTAATGTAGAAGGTATGAGAGATGTCAGAGTTAGAGTGAAGAATAGGAAAGACATTCTGATCAAAGACGTTTGGTATGTTCCTGATATTAGAAACAATCTGATGAGCGTGGGTCAGCTGATTGAGAAAGGTTTCTCAGTTGTTATGAAAACAATCTCCTGACGTTATATGATTCCAATCAGAAATTGATTATGAAGTATGAAGAAGGAAGCAACAGAACATTCAAGGTGAATGTAGAAACAACTGAAGCAACGTGTCTTAGTGCAGAAGACGCTGAAAGTGACAGTAAGCTGTGGCATATGAGGTTGGAACACTTGAACTATAGAAGCTTAGGGCATCCATGTTCTAAGAAACTTGTATATGGTATTTCGAATATTGTGAAGCCTGAGAATCCATGTGAGATATGCATGAAAGGAAAGCAACCCAGATTTCCATTTGCATCAGAAGTAGCCCCAGAGCGAAGCATGCTCTGGGAGTAGTACATCCTGATGTGTGTGGACCATTTCCAGTACCTTCACTTGGAGTAAACAAATATTTTGTGTCTTTTATGGGTGATCTCACAAGAATGACATTGGTAACACTCATCAAGTTCAAGCATGAAGTGCTTACTGAGTTCTAGAAGTTCAAAGTGAAGGCTGAGAAGCTGAGTGGTCAGAAGTTGAAGATTCTGAGAACGGATGGTGGAGGTGAGTATAACTCTATAGAGTTTCAGAAATTCTGTGAGGAGAATTGAATAGAACATAAGGTTACTGATCTATATGCTCCTCAGCACAATGGTCTTGTTGAAAGAAGAAACAGAACATTGCTTGATATGACCAGAAGCATGCTGAAAGAAAAAAAGTTATCTCACGTGTTATGGGGAGAAGTTGTTGCCACATCAGCATATATTCTGAACAGGTGTCCAACGAATAAACTGAAGGAAGTTATTCCTTTAGAAAAATGGACTGGAGATAAGCAGAGTGTCAGTCATCTAAAGGTGTTTGGCTCTGTCTGTTACAAACACGTTCCAGAAGCTAGAAGACAAAAACTGGATGATAGAAGCAAAGTAATGTTGCTGGTGGGGTATCACAGTACAGGTGTGTTGTACCCCAAAATTTTCTCTCTCAATTATCAAGATTTTCCTCACAAGACTTCTTGGACTCAACACCAGATTAGGGTTTGCTCAGCTCAAGACATCTCCTTGCACTGATAACCTGAAATTAGGGTTTGAATTTGCACAAGGATTTTTGGACCATCAATGCTTCATGTGACTTTCATACACCATGTTGGACCCCTAAGATTGTTTATACCAAGTTTCAAGCCTTGAATCACATTTTTGCCCAGTCAATTGGACAGTTGACCTAAAAATCAGCTGTATTGGGGAAAAAGTCAACCATGGCCAATTTACAGTCAAACTTCATAATTTTTTATCCACAACAACATTTTAGACTCATATGTATCATTTGATCAAGTTTGGACCACAACTCCTCAAGAAATTTGATCAAATCATCAAAAGGGCAAAATGGTCAAAATTAGGGTTTAACTGAGAAAGGGCAATTTCTGATTTTTAACCTAGCCAATGACCAATTGGGTTCAAGCATGATTTCAAGGACTCAATAGAATCATCTTGACCTAATCACATAGTTCAAAAGATCTCAAATGCATAGGATTGACAGATGAATTTTCCAGTCAACTGATCAAAAATCAACTGTACACTGAAAAGTCAAACTTTGAATTTTTGGTCAAAATCAAGTGCCAAGGGTCATAATTCATCAAGATATGTCAAAATGTGAAACTTTTTGGCCAAGAAACCTAAATTTGCAAATTAGGGTTTTAATTTGAAATTTTTCATAACTTAGAATTTTTCTAAGTATGGAAAATTTCTTATTTTTTCCCAACGTTTCCCAACTTTTTCACCATGATGCATTTGGATTCAAAGAAAACTTCCAACATGAAATTTGTAGTCCTCCATTAAATCTACAACTTTTATTCACAAAGTTTTCCCAAAAGATTCTTGGATCTCAAGTTATGATTTTGTGAATAGGGGTCCATAAACTAAAAGACTTAGTGAAAATTTGCCCTAAT